GGCTCTGTCGTCGTCGTTGTAGATAGTATGCGCAGTGTCATTGCCGCTGTAAAACTGGCGCTCTCGACCGAGGATGTGCCATGTTGGCGACCGAAGATGCAGTCGTGGACTGCGCCGCCGCAGTACTGCGGGCTGCTCGTAGAGGTATTTCATGAGCTTTTGTGTACGAATGAACGCGCTCAGTTCATTTGTAGTTGTTCGGAACTGACAAATTAGGATTCACCTCTCACTTGTTCAGTCTCTGAAGTCTGGGTGTTTCAAGAAATGAGTTCAATATATATTGAAAACTACAGAAAGGAGGCATCTGCGTTCTACCTGCGGTATTCTCTTAAATTTGGTGGAATGCATCTTCAGATGTGTAAAATCAATAATTACGGCAGTAAACATAGAAACCAAAACAATTAACTTTTAACCAGTCGAGATCGTTGGTTGAGTCAAATGGGCGAATTAAAGTTCTTCCTACGAATAGTCTACAGCCATTTTGAAATTTCGGAAAGGCGGCAAGTGGTAATCACCGCTGAGCGATGAAATCTGGCTAATGTAGCTGGCGAAACCGACGCACCAAACAGCGCATATACCATTAACTTCGAAAACACCCTCAAAGAAATGTCAATTGTTTTGAATTTTGTAAAGGGTTAATTGTTTAAATTTCTCTAATTACTGGCGTAATTATTATTTGTACACATATCTGAAGATGCCTTCTGCCAAAGTAAAAGGAACATCGCACGTAGAATGCAGGTGCCTCCTTTTTGTAGTTTCTCAAAATTATTGGACCCATTTCTTGAAACACCCTGTACATAGACCCGGGCCTAATACGGGCCTGACTCAGGCCCAACCCGAGCCCGAAGCTCATGGGCCACAGTCCGGCCTGGGCCCGATCCAGCAATGCCTTACCCGGCCCGCGGGCTGGGCCCGGGTTTTTAGGCCGGCCCTGGTCCGTGCAGTGCTTTACTCTGAACTGCGTCGCCGTGCTTCTATTGCCCAAATATATATGGTATAGCGGTGTTCGTTGGCAGCTGTGGCAAATAATGCACGCGACGTTCGAACATTAATTGAATGAATGGTGACGGAGGGCTAACGATATACGGCTGAGCATGTTGGATGAACGGCGTTTGTCGCTAAATTCAAGATTGACAAGGTGGTCTGTGTACCAGGAAGGGGGCTGTCAATTACGGGCACCGGGATGGTGTTCAGTTTGTTACGGGAATTTATTGAGGATTATACGACAGCGTCGACAATCGTAGCTACAGCAGGCAGGGCTTAGCCAAGAGCGAACTGATGATCACAATCTTTTCCGGTAAGAGGAGGTTGCTAGTAACGTATAGTTTCGATCGGTCGATGTGTACTTTCTATCGCCCTCGAGGACGGAGATCAGGAGATGGCGAAACGGGTTCGAACACACAATTAACAGAAGTTTGAGCAACCGCGCGGTCCTGCCCTTTGGCACTTCGGAAGGAGCTTAGAAGAAAGGTCCCAAGCAGCCACTGGAGGGGCCCAAAGCCACGTGAGAGAGTCGATGGTGAAAGGCTCCGGAGGTGTCGTGGCGCTGTTATTGGCGACACTCGTATCGTAGGGTCAGTTGTCGGAATTTTTCGGCATGTGGAGCGAGCTCAGGCACAGGTTGGCAGGGTATACGGGTGAATCTTGGCAATGGTGCTGAAGGGTTCGCGGCCGTAAAGCAAAAATAATGCTTAGAATCCGGTAGTGCCTTGGGAGTCGACGTTGTATGCGTATGGGACAAACGGTAGTAAAACATCCCAATTGCGGTGATCTGACGCAACAAATATAGACAAGAAGTCCTCAAGAGTCCGGCTAAGCGCGAGTGGTGCGGTGAATAACTTAGAATTCACATGGGAGTGGTTGCACGTTTAATTTAGTCTGCTGGGAGCCTTCACTCTCCTTGTCAATGTTACGCGCCGTCCTCACTTTTCAATGTCAAAGGTCTAAAGAATAATTAATAGGCTGTGGCATTAGAAGAAACGTTAGGAAATCGGGAATGCAGGCAGTAGCATTACCAGAAAATTTTTGAGGGGAGGGCGGGGGGGGGGGTGTCCCACTATTATGTTTCATGTTATTTTGCGTGTGTGCCTGTATATATACTCAAGCTATAAATTGAAATAAATTTTTGCCCCCCCCCTCCCCCCCTGGCTACGCCCATACAAATGGGTGTAACTCGAGGCCCGTCTGGAAATGTCTTTGACCTGCTCAGTAAATTAACACGATAATGGTGATCGTTATGTAATGGAGGACGAGTTTAATTAAGACGCGCAATCTTCATTTATTGCGGTGCTTGGGAAACCGATAATTCTTTCCGAAAAAAAAAAAAAAACACGACCTCTCGCCGCGGAATTTGATCGCGTGCACTCCCACGGTTGGCAGCGGGACCTTGTCGTTGGCAGCCGGACGGCGATCAGTGGCATCCGCAGCGGCGGAAGCGCGGTTCACTTGAAGCGGGCGTTGTCACCTCACTCAATCCATCCCGACATGATACGCTGCGCGCTCGTGTTGTGGCCCACATTTCGCATTCGTATCCCGAGCGCGGGACCTTCTCCCGTTCCTCACCCGGCGTGTTCGAAAGAGCGGAATTTCGCATTGAGAGACGATTTCGCCGCCACACCGGTATTCCGCGGCACGCCTTTTTTGCTTTCGCCTCGCCCCCTTCCGAACGGGCGCCACCGTGAGTTGGCAGGCATTTTGTGCCGGTGGAACGTACTCGCGCGCACGGACGACAGATTTGTCGAATTCCGCGTCGGCGTCGTACGTGAATAACCCGGCGCCAGCGAGCGTCCAACGGCCGGCCCTCAAAGGTTATGCGCCAGTTTTCCGAAAACTGATGCCTCTGTCGATCGTTGCCTTTTCTAGATATCAAGCTGTTTTTGATATGGCAATCTGATCTTCCATCGCGACGACTTGTCGTCATTGTACGTAGCCACTTTTCGTTCAAGTGCGTGACCGTCGTTTTTGCCTGTAGCAACCGAATAAGAATGAATTAACACTTATTCAAGTAGCTATGAAACGGATTCACCAAAACAGCTTATTGCCTAACGAATTCACCGCCGCATAAGTTTTCAGAATCTGTCTAGTATGGCACTCTCTCTCTTCTCTCGTCCCGGCGGAAGCGCTAAAAGCTGAGCAGGGAGGGACGGCACGGGAAATGAAAATACGTCACGCGCGCCTCGTGACCTTGAGTGCTTTTTTTTTTTTTTTTGTGGTTTCTCGAATATGCTCTCTCTCTCAGTGCGAACGCGCGCGCACGCGGGGACAAGTCACGGCCGCCTCCCGCGACGGTACCTGTAACGACCGAGCGTGCCACGTTCAAATCAGCCAATGGCTGATAGAACGAGTGGTTTTTTTTTTTTGCTGCTTCTGTCGTTTGTCGAGAACAGACAAAACAATTTTAGTTAACTCTGAGAATTCATTGTGAATTCAGGCCGTGTGCTGTAATATTTGACTCGCGTGTTTTCGGGAGCCTCTACTACCGACCGGCAGCGTTTTCTGACAATGCTCAAAAAGTGTTACAGGGCCCCTTTAAGCTTCGATTTCCTGCATGGAGCGAGGAAACAGGAGGAAGCATTATGCAATGCGATGGAAAGGAAGAATATTAGTGCACCTAGTGCGCAGATCCAAGGCTTTCCTTAATTGCACATATATTTTTCTGATATGGCAAGGACTTCTGAAATTTTTTTTCCTTTATCGCGTGTCATTGTTTCTCCCAAAAATATCTTGCGCACCGTCAGTCCACTTGTGTGTGTCCCCATTTCTTGTTCTATGTTGAGGTATCGAAGATCGGAGCCATGCTACGAGCACGACTGCTCGTCTCCCGGGCACAGCGGCGGCGTTTAACTTCGATGCGGGACGGCGCGCAGGAACACCCGTGTACTTAGATTTATAAACGCACATAAAGAACCCGAAGTGGTTGGAATTAACCCGAAGTTCCATGAATGGCGATACCGCAGTCTTATCCTGGTTCTTGCACCATACAAAAAGTATTAATGACTTTGAAAATAGGTTCAAGTGCGTGTGACTCCTTTGGTGGAGGTAAATACTGTAGGAGCTCTAAGCGAGAGCCCTTTTGTCTCTCTTTCACGGTACATACTCTCTAATGCAAAAAATAAGAGAAAGGAGGCGTATGTGGCGCATCTGTGCCACACAGCAGTAATCGTCACAGCGCGTGCTTTCCTTGCTTTATCTCCACGTACCCTGTACTTAGCTGTTTGCGTGCGGCTGTGAGCGTGACACAGTACTCTTGGAAGGTATGTCTATAGCCAGCCCACATTTTTCAAGAACGTAAACAAAGTACGGTTATTGCTTGTCAGAAAGACGCCCGAAATACCCCCCTTAGTGTGTATAGTTTATGTACTCTAATGAGTTTCGCGTTTTAGGTTGACACTCTTAATGGCGTATCGTGTTCCCAAGCGATCATCATCATCGGCTTGCTTGCTTATGTATCCCGTCTCAAGAACTCCGCGCTCGCTTTTGTTTTGGCCAAGAATGCTATCTTGCGCTGATAGTACCGTGGCTGAGCTTGAAGTCCGTGTCTGCAGCGTAAAAGATGCCACAGCTCCTTGTCTGGTAGCAAGATAACCCCGAAAGGGTTCAGTCCGCGGTACTCACGAGCGGCATTCGCGTTGTCAACGTAACGCAGCGTTCTTCGCGGGAAAAATAGCGATCCCAGTGTATTCGCAAAGGTCTCTAAAGGATGCCAATGTCCTTAGAGCGCATATCTTAAAACCAAAGGGCGTACAAGGGGCGTATTCCCGTATTATAGCAGAATACCCGTCGTGGTGGTCTAGTGAAGGTCGCGGGATCGAATCCGGGCCACATTTCGATATATGCGAAATATGCTATAGAGGCCCGTGTACTTACGTGCACGTTGAAGCGACCCAGGTGGTCGAAATTTCCGGACTCCTCTGCATACAGCAGTCCTCGTATTAGCATACCGGTAGTTGCGGGACGTAAGACCCCAGTTAAAGATGGCCATCGCTCGCCCTCCATTTCAGCCCCGGTGTTTGTCGCCGCCGCCGCCCATGCGGGTGACCACCGTGGGCGGCGGGGCCCCGCCGGCATGATCGCCAGCCCGCCCGTGCACGGGCTGCGGCTGGGCGGCACGCAGCAGCAGCCGCCCGTGCCTCGGCGGCGCAGCTCGTCCCCGCCCCCACCACCGGCGCCCGCCGAGGCAGCGCCCGGAGTGCCGCCGCGCCGGCTGCCCGCGCTCCAGGGACGCTCCAGCCTGAGCGTGTCGCGCACCCGCTTCGTGCTGGCGCCCGGCGAGCCCCCGCTGCTGGTCAGCTGGGACATCCGCGAGGAGGTGTCGCCCGACGACTGGATCGGACTCTACCGAACCGGTACCCCCTGCCGGCATCTCTTTTTTTGCTTTCTTCCTAAAGATCGAGTGGGATGTCGAAATTTTCGGAAATTGCTAATTTTAGATGCGTGTATCTAGGCGGCTATACTAACTTAATAAAAAAAATATCAACCCTGCCCACAACTGTCCCTCCCCCATTGAATTTGCATAAGTGCTTCATCCAAAGTGTTTTTTTTTTATTTCTCGGACGTTAAGTGCTCTTATCTTTGACTTACTCACATAGACACACACACTCCTGTGTCACTGGTCTGAGTTCAAAAGCTCGAATAACCTCGTAAATTTTGTCAGGGTTTGTGACATCGCAGCTCAGCTAGAGGCAATGTTTTAGGTAGTAACGACAAAAGTTTAAATCTTAACACCTGTAGTACTTGCATTAGCTGAAACGAAACACTTGTAATTCGAGCAGAAACCAACTAGCACGACTGTCTTTCACCTGTGAAGGGTAAGTTGGCTGCGGTTCTGTTTTTTTACAGTGTAATCAAGTATGGCAACTTACTTTTCAGACATCCATGTGGTGAGGAAAGTATCATGAAAGCATCGATTCCAATCCTCTGACAGTAGCACACGATTAGGTGGATGTAGATTACTGCCAATACAAATTGATTGGCTATAATTAATAATGCTGTTCTTAGGGTTGAGAATTAATTTTTCCTTGCTTGGAAACCTGTGGACTTTTTAGTCGGATTGAATGCCGGTGCTTCTTCTTCAGCTGTGAAGCTTTCTTTTTTTGTGAAAACCCATTCAGATTTCCTTTGTAAGCTAACAGCACTGTCATGTTTACTTTTTCTTTTCTGTTTTTTGTCAGCACTGTCATGTCTACTTTTTCTTTTCTGTTTTCTCTCTTTCTGTTTAAGCCAGTGTTTTCGTCATTTCCCTGTAATGGGCAGTTCTGATCTGGCGTAGTACTTTGCGTGTCAGGCGCAACCGGTTTTGATTTTGTCTTTGAAATTCGATTATGAATATCTCAAACTACGGGCAACTTTAGTGGTTTTGAAAAATAGGTATGTCATATATTATCATGCGCTAAAACTTTCTAATATAAGCAACTGCACTCAAGTCAATAATTAAGAAGTTTACTCTAGTTGTGGCAAAGTATTTCTGCTTCAACCTAGAGTACATGTGCAAAAACGATAGGAGCCCTACTGTCATTAGATTTTTATAAAATAGTTAAAGAACCGCTGGTGGTCGAAATTTCCGTAGCCCTCCACTACGGTATCTCTCATAATCATACGGTGGTTTTGGGACGTTGAAGTACACATAACAAATCATTTTTATGAAATATCTGTGTTGTCTAAAAAAAGCACCCTGTTCATAAAATATATTTGATAGCAAGAAGCTATAGCACAGGGATGCAACAGAGAAACACTGAAGCACACTGGAAAACACAGGAGCACACAGCAACAAGAAGACACACTGAAGGGCCATATGCAAATTAGTTCTAGCTTTCAGAAGCCTGTTTAGAACAGCAACTCAAGTGACCAGCAGCAGGCCTGATAAAGACCAAACAAAATAGTAAAGTGGTTGTGGAAGAGCTCATCGAATTATTGTTTGTGCCGGCATCATGTGTGAACCTTACTAATCACATTTGTTTGTTGACAATATATCTGAATGGAAATGCTGGAAAAATAGTGTTTGGCATTTACTCGCTGCAAACAAAGTAACAAGCATACAAGTAATATTACGGTATCTGTGAAGTTAGTTTCTGATCTCGTAGAAACTTACCTCACATATTTTTGAACATTGTACTTGTCACATTAATTTCGCCATGCTTGCTGTCACATTAGTCTGAGCACAAATTACATTGAGACACAGGAACTAGACATAGTCTTGTGCATGCAGGGATGTACTGTCATCTGTATGCTCATAAAAATGCCGAAACACTAGAAGCCTCACTGTGGTCAAAAAGCACAGAAATAGCTTGTGTGTAACACTTTCAATTTTACGTTTTTAAAAAAGACATGGAAGAAATGGATGCAGGAAGGAAACGGGCAATTTGGGAAAACAATAATAAATCTTAATAATAAATTTAAACGAGAAAATTTAAAGATGGTAGATACTGTGGAAATAAAACCCATGAACACGGTCTCAAAAACTCATTGCTATAACAGTTATGATATGAAGGCAGATTCTGAAATAGTTGTGGACTAGCTTGACACGCATTCATTTTTCTGTGGCTGGCAGTATGTTGGCTTCACCAGCTCAATACCATGTATGCCATGTGTGTGTCCATGCCTAGGCATAATGCTAAATCAGTACCCTATTTTTTCATGTTTCACATCAGTGAAATTTGTTTGCCACTTCTTTCTCACGAGCTCTTTCTTTGTGTTTTACTTTTTTCACCTTCAGATGAAACAGATCCACTTCGTTTTCTGGAGCACAAAAACAAGCGATGTCCAAGTAACACTGCAAAAGGACAGGTCCTGTGGAACATAGACTGCAAAGATGCATTTCTTGAAGGTGAGACATTTACCAGTTTTGCTCGAGGTTCACTTACAGCTTTATAGTAGCTGAAAAAGATGAAACTTAGTGCTGATAAGTTTTAATGCGTTGCGCTATGTAACTCTGGAAAGTGGGCATACACTGTGGTTTCAAAGGTTCTAGTAAACGAATCCCTTATTTAGATGAACTGTTTCGCTATCATGCCTATTCTAATCGTTCAATCTGAACGATGCATTTCAGGTTTGAATTTTCGCGCGCTCGCAGATTTTGCAGGTGCCTAACGCCATTTAGATAAGAAAGTAGGAAACACACAACGAGATCCAGGATGTTTTGGTTGTTTTTTGCTTTAGGGAAGTTTTCTCTCTCCGCTTAAAGTTACGGGTTGTTGCACAAGTGGGCCGATTATAGCGTCTGTTTCTTGAGTAGACATTCCTAAAATACGATGAGTTTCTTGCGAATCGAGCTCATCTATAGCAGATTTTGAGGATGAAATCACCAGCAGAGAGCCTAAAGAAGATGTTGACTCATCAAGTTTCAGCACAGATGATGAGGATGCGTCAAGTGAAGCCACAGCATCATTATCAACAACCTCATTATTTTTTATGTTACCCTCCTCTTTAAATCACTAATTGTATGATAACCTTATAAACTTCTGACTATAAAAATTTTTTCTGAATGTGTGTAAATAAATATAAATACAACGTTTGTGTTATTGGACAGAACATTCTTTTAGTTACAGTTTGGTAACAAAGAATGTTAACAAGGCATTAGTATTTAGCTGGAAAAAAATGTTTTTTTACACCTAGTGAAAACGGCCCCTTTTCCCGCTGTAGTGAAAGAGTTAAATACTGACACCTCAATTGAAGTAAGCGTGAAATGCAGCACTTATCTCATGACAAAGCAAGTGAATGCTATACTATATGAAATATTGCTTTACCAACTTTTGTTGTACAGCTAGAGGAAGTTATGAAACTTATATCATTAGCAGTGTTTTTATTTTGGCACTTTCTCATACAAGATGGGTATCTGCTTGCACTGATAAATAAGACTTTCTCTCTCGCTAATTCAACAAATCACAGTCGTGCCACCCAAGTAGCTGCGCAATCAGACAGCCAGTGTGCCCCATTTGTACCCAGAAGTGGCTGCCGATAGAGTGTTGTTTTTCTTGCTGCGTATCCCCTTTCTTTCGTAAGGCTCGGTCAAAGTTACACGCGATGCTCTCTGTGACCCCATGAGATAAGAGCTGCGCCTCATGCTTGCAATGGTGATTGTTGCAGAGACGACCAATGTGTGCTTTCGCTACTACCACGGGACGAGTGGTACTCTCAGAGCCGTGAGTCCAGTGGTGACCATCTGCAGGTCAGCTGACACCACTGGAATTATGGTAAGGTCTTCCTACCTTTGCTTAGCTTTGGTGCACACAACTGTATCCTTTTACACAAAGGTTTAGCCACACTCGGTTGCAGCCCTTAGAAATGCTGGAACTGAATCTGAATATACACACAGCTTGCGGCATCTTGGAAGCACCCGAGACGTTGTGGAAAGGGAAGGATTTACTTAGCTCTCAAGAAAACACAAGAAACTGCTGCACACGCTCTTGAATTTTGCGCCATCTTTCCGCAATGCGAATCTAGCTGACGAAGGTCCGACGGAAGCGTGTCTCAAACTCTTCCCACAAAGTGATCTGGGAGCTCCTCGAACGGTACCAGTCCTTAGCTACTCCCACTAGTCGGGCCTTGGCAGTTTCTAGAGTATACGCAGCTGGCCATCCGTGGAGGTTAGACGTGCGACGAATATTCTCGGTCCACTCACGTGCCGATGGAGCGTCTTCGGAGCTGTCGAAGGCACTGATGTATGGCTCAGGAATCACCTAGAATGTTGGTGCTGGTTCAGGTTGAACCGCGCCGGCCACAGATAGTCGTTCCATCAGGGTTGCTAGTAAGCGATCCTTTTCTTGGAAAGCTTGAAATAGGTCACGAGTCAAGTGTCGCCATGGCCAGACGCTGTGTCTCTTTCGTCGGTGCTTACCATCTTAGGGTTAGGGATAGCAGTTCCGTGCACTGACTAAACTCACGTTTACTCTTCCTTTGGCAACTGGATGGGCAATCACACTTCTGAAATGTTAGCTTTCGGCGTCTTGGAAGCACCCGAGGCGTTGTAGAAAGAGCAGAATTTACTTAGCTCTCAAGAAAACACAAGCCGCACAGGCTACAAAAACGCCACATAGGCCATAACTTCACGAGCGTCTCTCTGTCCTCATCGTCATTTTCCTTCACTATCTTCCTCAGGGCACGTGCATTTCCAACAACTCTGAAATACAATTTAGGTTCTTGTCAATGCAGAGAAGAGTAGTGGTTATAGCACTGTGCTTAATATCAAGTTTTCCCAGTTCACTGCTCCTGTTTACAGCTTAGGGTCCTTAGCCAATGGAGTCCGTAGCCAATGGAGCCAATGTATATTATATACCTTATATTAATACAGTAGACTTCTAGTTAATGACACTCTCCTAAATGAAATTGTTGCTTAATTGGAATAACTGCCTCTAATGTGTTTGGTTTCATACTTGAATATTATATACCCCTGTTTGTCTCTCAGTAAACAAAACTCCTCTTAAGGGGGGGCGCGGCAAGTAAAGTGCCGATTTTGGTCAAAATATGCGATTTTCTGATTTATTTTTTTTCGTAATCTTCAGACCTTCAACTTCCTTGTTCTAAAATATTACAGCGAAACGTGCGCTACAAATCCCGCAAATAGTGTTTTTGCCGAGGCTAGTCGCCGAAAAGTGCGAAAAAAAAGCCCCTGAAACGGTGTTGTTCACGCCGCACAAACGCGCCAAGTTGTTGACTGTGGGCCGCCATTTTGGTAGCTTTGGAAAGAGGAGAAAGCCGGCTTCCCGATGGTCGCGGTCTCGTATTTCGCCGAGTGAAAATAAAAGCGCGAGGAGCAAGTAAAAAAACGAAAACGAAGAACGGCAATTGGCTGCGCGGGTCACGTGGTAGCAGGCGCGACCTCTTACTGGTCAAAGCTGCGCCGCGCACCTTGGCAACCTTGGAAGCGCGAGCGCATCTGCGGCCGCCGTGCCGAGAATCATCCGGCGTGCGTTTCGTTTTTTGCCAGTTTGCTGTTTTTGTGATAGTTCGCGTGCTTTTTTTACCAAGCTTTGTTTACATCGGTGGTCTCTTCTGAGTGCTTGCTCATACTGCGGTGCTATGTTGCCGCAAAAAAAGTTCCGGAGCGTCCACAAGTACGGCAAGCGTCGGAAAGCTTGGAACAAAGGGCAGACGACTGCGGCTGCCGTCCCAGTCGCAGTTCCGGACGGAGCATGCTCTTCAAGCGTCACGGAGCCTCTACTCAGACCCTTCGCTGATTGTTGTGAGGCCGAGAGTGTGGAAGGTGCCACATCGTCGTATGTCAGACCGCCGGATGCCGTCGACCGTGATGGACGCTCTCGCGAACCCGATTGCGGTGGCACCGCGTCGGCAGCCGTTGCAACTCCGGGCGTGCGTGCGTCGAACATTCTATCGCGAGTTTCGGCCCAGATTCCGAGCAGTGAAGAAATCGCGCAGCGGGCGCAGACAAGGCGGGATGTTTTGGATGCCGTAGCATCGAAGTCCGCTTCAAAGCGGAAGCTCGAGCTTCTGAGCGAAGGCTGCGACGAAAATGACGGCGGTAAGGACTCCACATTCTTCATTGTAAATAAGAAGATGCTGAACGGTCTGCTTTCGTCAGTAAAGTGCAACAAGTGCGACGAAGGGTCGATACGCCTCAAGACTACGCACTGCCTTGGACTCGCGGCGAGGATGGAACTTTTTTGTGACAATTGTGGCATAGTGAACAGTGCGTGGTCGTCCCCGAGGTGCTCCGGGCAACAAAAAACGAACCCCTTTGAGGTAAACGTGCGTGCTTTGAGGGCTGTGCAGTCAGTTGGCAGAAAACAATCTGCCATAAATGACATTTTTTCTGCGATGGACATTTCGCATCGAGCACTGCACCACAAGTCCTACCAGAGACTGCAAAGGAAGTACAGCCACCCTGCCACCACATCAGCTGCCACCCGCATTGAAGCAGAAAGTGCACAGAAGGTGCATGACATATACAAGGACCTAGGAGGAGTGCCAGGCAACATTGACGTCATTTACGACGGCACGTGGATGACGAGGGGGCACAGAAGTCATATTGGCGTGGGCTGTGTAATCGAGCTGTACACAGGCTTGGTCTTGGACCACTGTGTCCTGTCCAACTACTGCCAAGGCTGTGCTGTTGGCACCAAGCCTGGTGACGACAACTATGAGGAGTGGCTTGAGAAACACAAGCCACAGTGCCAAAAGAACACTGATGCTAATGCAGGCCAAATGGAAGTAGAAGCAGCTAAGATCATGTTTGAAAGATCGTTTACCAAGTACAAGCTTCGATACATCAATGTGCTCTGCGACGGTGACAGCCGTACGTACCTTGCCCTCACGCAAGACAAGGTGTATGGCTACATGGTGATTAAGAAACAGGAGTGTGTGAACCATGTGAAAAAAAGAATGGGCACTTCCTTGCGCAACCTTCTTGATGAGCACAAATCCAAAGGCCGAGGACTGAGCATGGGTGGCAAAGGCCGGCTGACGCAGGGCCTGATAAAGAAGTTAACGAATTATTATGGTTGGGCCATTAAGAGCCACCCCAACGATGTTCCTGGCATGGAGAGGGCCATCATGGCCACTTATTACCATGTAACATCCACAGACCAGGATCCACACCACGACCTGTGCCCAAGTGGGACTGACTCCTGGTGCCCGCACAATCAGGCATTGGCCAAGGGAGAGCCGCTGCCGCCTCACAAACATAAACTGCCCCCTCACGTGCGAGTGGCACTGCTGCCAATCTACAAGCGCCTCTCGAACAAAGAGCTCCTTGAAAGGTGTGCGCAGGGAAAAACCCAGAATGCTGTGGAGAGTATGAACAGCCTCATTTGGTCACTCCAGTCCAAGAGCCAGTTCGCCTCCCTTCCAAGTGTGGAAAGTGCAGTTGCAGATGCAGTCTGCCGTTTCAATGGTGGCTGCAAGAGTGCGCTGCAAGAGATCACCGCTCAACTGGGCTTCAATCCAGGAGACTGCTCTTTGCGGCGAGCAGCCGAAAAGGATGCCAAAAGGGTGAAGAGGGCTCAAAAGGTGCATTGTTCCACGACAAAGAAGTGCAAAACTGGGTTGCGCTCTACAGAGGCCAAGGCCACAGCATCTCAGGATTACTGCCCAGGAGGATTCTGAGTGTTTTAGGCATATTGTGAACTTCCAAACAAGAGTGAACTTTCAAAGTCAGTTTTCTCAACTCTTGATTTTCGCCTATGTGCCTTCGCTAGAACATCTGTCATTTTCTAACAAAGACTGATAGAGTCATTCCGTTTTTTGCACTAGGCTCAGGAGGCTTTTAGCAGTGCAATAAAGCTTTATCTCTCTTCTTACTCATCATTTAAAATTCTTAGAACACATTTTATAATTACTGTGATGTGTGTGCAAAACAACATCCATGTTTTGGAAATTTTATTTATGGTTACAAGAACTAGAAAAATCAACTAATAGCTTCTTTGCACAAGTTGATGCTTTGGGAACATAATAATATGAAAAAATAATTTCATTTAGCAATAATTATCTCTTTAAGTGTGAAGAGCATTAATTAGTATAATTATGCTTGTAACTCAAAAAGTACAAGAGGTATTTGAAAACGGTTTTCATATTTGGAATCCTCACAATCATCCACATACACACACCAAATTTCATCACAAACAGTACATTAATAAAAAAATTAGTTTTACTTGCCACGTCCCCCCTTAAAGGAAACACATTTTCCTTGTCCCTTCAGGTTTCGTTTAAAAAGAGTCTACTGTATATTACACTCCTCTTTTGTGTGGACACACTTTGAACTTTACACTGCAGTGAATGAGTGGTTTTTGTGGCATGCATTACGACTTATTTATCCGAGAAAACAGTTGTGGATGAGTCATTATGCTGCTGTCAATGTTGTTGTCTTCACATTATTTTGTTAAAAACCCTTTTTTTTTTTTTTCAGAATGGCCATGGCTCCGATGTTTTGGTGGGCTACTCTTCGCAGCAGATACCGATGGAGATGGTCAAGTTTTATTTGACCAGTAAGTATTGTCATGGCTAGGTAACCTATGCGAGTGGCATGCCTGGATGCATAAGCGGAACAGTACAGGATGACGGTGGAATCTTCGTACCAACAGAAAGTGCTACAGCACAACAAGGTTGCAGGAGTTAGCGCATTAAAAATACCGATACCGGCCACTGCTATATCAGTATTTTTTTATTGTCCTGGACTTCGAAAATGTACCTTGAGCTATAGTACTGTCAGTATTCCTCCCTTGTTTGAAAATCGCTCATACAGATCTACACTCCCTGCACGCTGGGCTTAGATGAAGCACATACGTATTAATGTTGTGAGTAATACGCATTTGTTCTTTGGTATGTAAAGGGCTTCTGTTTCACAAACAGTTGTAACTTGCCAGCCCAACATGACCCAACAAACCTGTAAAATACAACAACCCTGTAAAGGACCACTCCAATCTCATTTGTACAATCTGTGCTGTAACCTGACATCAACCATTGTCAGCATTCAGCTAGTATAGGGATGGCTTACCGTAATTACTCGAATCTAACGCACACTTTTTTTCCGGTTAGGCGAGTTCATAAATCGCATGCGCGTTAAAGTCGAGTAGGAAAAAAATGAATACGGTCATTCTATTGCCATCGGCATCCCAAAATGGCCGCCCCCTACGTGCGTCGGCATGGCGCGTCGACCTTTTCTGCCTATGTGTTTCCCATGTGCGGCACTTCGTACCTGTGTTGAGGAGTTCGTCATCTTGGTGTGCATTAGCATCTACGGCATGGAAGGGCCGACTCCAAAAACTCGACGAGTGCACCACAATGCCGCTTTTAAAAGAAAAGTCAACGCGTGTGCCGAAACGGACGTAAATCGGGCTGCATCGCGGTCGTTCGGAGTTCCCGAAACGTGCGTGCGGGACTGGCGGAAACAAAAGCAGAATATTGTCGACAGCAAAGATTCACGCAAAGGCTTCAGTGGACCACAGCAGAGTCGTTTTCCCCAAATTGAAGAGCTGCTCCGCGACTATGTGATTGAGCCGTGAGCGGCACAGCGGCCCGTGACGACAGAACTGCTCCAAGAGCAGGCTATGCAGTTAGCCTTAGAAAAAGGGCTAATGCGGAGCCAGTTTAAAGCGGGCATGCGCTGGCTTACTAACTTTGTGAAGAGGAAAGGCTTTTCCCTGTGAAGGCGAACGAGCATATGCCAAAAGTTGCCGGAGGAGTACGAAGAAAAGCTTCAGTTTTCAGAGGTTCGTCCTAAACTTGGGCACAACGGCTCCCTGCTTGGGCAAATCGGGAGTGCCGATCAGACGCCTCTTTACTTCGACATGCCTGGCACCACAATCATCGAGAAGAAGGGGGCGAAGCAAGTTCGCGTGCTGACATCGAGCCACGGTAAAACTAGAGTGACGGCAATGCTCCGTTGCACGTCAGATAGGGACAAGCTTCCCCCGTACCTCATATTTAAACGGAAGACGCTCCCGAAAGGCGTCTTTTTCCCGAGTGGTGTGATCGTGTGGGCCAACGAGAAAAATGGGTGCGCGTTGCAATCGATGTCTTACTTTCTTTTTTTCTTTTTTTTCGTCGTGGAAATCGGGTGCGCGTTACAATCGAGGACGCGGTAGAATCGAGTAAATACGGTATATGCATATGCTTGTGCCAGCACAAACTTTCGTACTATTAATGTTCAGAGCATGAAACTTTGAAACGGCAGTAACTTGAGTAGAAGCATGATAATACAAATCACTGCACTCATTTTTTCGAAACGTTGGCTCATCAGGCTTTGTGAGTCTTAGCAGAGAAATCATTGTGTGCTACGTTTATTTGTAGCTCAACATAAAATGGTTCCTGTGGGTAAGAAGGCAGTAGACAGGCATTGCCAAGTCCTGTGCTGTTTTTAAGCATGCGTGGCTGCTAACTAGGTGTGTCTCGTGGGCAAGCAATAAAAGAATTTTTTTAATGAGCAACTCTTTGGAAGAGTTGACGTGTATCGAAGGGGCAGGAAATTGGGCTAATAAACACCCACTGCCTTTTTTATCCGTGCAGACCTCCACGCTCGAAATCTCAAGAAAGGGATGTTCTTTAATCCTGACCCCTATGTTAAGATGGGTGTTCAGCCCGGTTTGGGGGACGGCGTGTTGCTCCTTCCACACCATGGCCAAATTTGTCGCACGGGTGCTGCTGAATCTACTGTGCACCCCTCGTGGCCTGGCCAGTACGAGTTTATTGGCTACCCTTCCGACGTGCTGGAGTTTGAGGTTAAGGACAAGTTTGCCCGCAGCAGGCCAATCATTGGCCGCTTCCTTGGTCGGCTTGCTGTGCGAGTGTGGGATCTCCTGGACCGTTGCACTGGGTGAGTGGTTGTGTGTTGTCTTGGTTCTATTTTGTGTACTGCACTCTTCTTATCATTCTTGTACTTTTTTTTGTAGTGCATTTAGCATAATGAAGTTCCATTAACTTTCTCTTGTAGAAGAGCATGATGCATAGACTATTTAACCAACTACGAACCTGTTGTCTATTTACGTAATAGTAAGAATTTTGCCAACAGCCATTTCATGTTGCCTTGATATTCTATTGCAGTGCTGTCAGTATTTTTTTTCTCTCTCTCATTCCTTTAGAGGTGTTCCTGTTGAGATGAGTTTCAGTCTTGCTAACAAGACACCTTCAGACCACGTCACAGGGGAGCTCTTCTTTACGTTCGTGCTGGAGCACGGCCCAGGTGAGTGAGAGGAATGCCTTTGTGTAATAGGTAGTGAAAATTATAACAATTTCATCGTCTATTCTCACTGTCTCTTTTTATTGCAGTAGACCCGTGGACCCACATTCGACAGGTCCACAACCCAATCTACGTGTCTGACGTGCCTCCAGAACCGTGCCCCTCAAGCCCGCCCCCTTCGTCAGAAGTCCCACCACCCGCATCAGTGCCCCATCATCCACCTCTGACCGCCAGGACCACCTCTCTGCCAAATGGAAGTGGCAATATACCACCACCGCCCACCTCATCCTCGTCCTCTTCATCGACATCTTCGGCGGGTGATCCAGAGCCAACACCAAGGAGGGATTCTTCCCAGCCCGCAGCACGGCGTAGTGTCCGTTCAAACAGTGAGCACGGCCTGCACTCCCCCGTAGCTCCACAGGCAGTAACGAGGCGACTCTCTCAAACACCTCGACCACCGGCCACGGCGGGTGGGTCACCGGCGTCCACCTCCTTTGCCAACATGGAGTACATGATGCAACAGGAGGTAGCGTCTCCAAGGCCCTCTACATCTATAGATGAGCCACCCCCGCTACCTCCAAAGCAGAAGGGCCCCAAGCGGCATCACCATCACAGGCCCCTCGAACGATCACGAGCTTTGGATGTTGTCGCGAGAGCTGAAGAGACAACATCGTCATCATGGAAACATGCCAAACATCGAGACGAAGCCACGGGTCTTGCAGGAGATGTTGAAGAGGCGCCGGCTGACTCTGACGAGAGCTCTGCGAGCCTAGCCTCTTCGAGTGCAACGTCCTTGACTGCAGGAGACGTGAGCCCACCTCCAACGTTACCGAGAAGAACGCGACCAGCTGCCCTCCAAACAACGTGCGAGGCAGTCGGGCAGACAGCAAGAGCAGCGCCGTTAGCGACACCCGAGCAAGATTCTTCGCTTCAGGAAGGGGGTCCTTCATCTTTCGAGAATCTCAGCGGAGTCCTAGACACACTGGACTCCGATGAGGAAGGCCCGGCTCCGGCAGATGAGCTTTCTGCCTGTGACTTCGATCGTGCCAACAGTGAACCAGCGAATCTTGAGTTCGACGCTGGTGGTATGGTGTCTTCATTAGCTGCTGAGGACAGTCCCTCGCCAGCACCTGAGGTCAGCAGAGGTGCCTCACCTGCACCATCATCCTTGGGAGATTCGTCTGCAGAGGCTTCGTCTTCACAAACATTGAGTGCCAGTGATGATGATGGAGCACCTGAGGCCAACAACCTCGAATGTAAGCGTGCAATATTTTGTTTTAGATCGCTACGTATAAACATTTACTAATCCTTTTTTTTTTTTTTTTGAATTCAGTATGTGCAGTTCTGAATGTATAGTCGAAACCCGCAATAATGAAATCAGCGGGGAAAGCAAAAGAATTGCGCTCTTGCTTGAATTTTGTTGGCATGTGAATGCTGCAGAAAACTTCGGAAATTGGCTTACCGTATTTACTAGCATAATCCTCGTACTCGCATAATTCTCACACACCCCACATTGCCCACTAAAAATGAGATTTTTTATTTCCCCGCAAGTAATTATGGCATCCCCAAAATGCAGCTGTAATGTTATGTGCTCCTTACAACCACCGACGATGATTTTGCACGACAGCCTGGCGCCACTTCTCAAGCAATACGCATACTAATAATGCACGGAGCCCCAATCCAGTCCAAGCCAAGCCATAGTGGCAAGTGCGTGTTGCTAGTGTTGTGCTGTGTTGTGTGCGCTCTGTGGTTACGCTATGGGGTGATACGGAAGCTACACGGGTGCTGGAAAGTTGAAAGTGACTGATCACAGAATAAACAGCGGCCACAGAATAAACAGCGGCGAAAGGGCCACCGGTAGGCACTTTGGAGTTGACGAGTTTTGTGTTCGTTACTGGCGACGACAGCGCGGGCAGCTAAAAGCCACCAAGACGTGCTGCGTCTTTCAGTGTGGCCAAAACTGGGGTGGATGGTAAAACATTTTTTCGTCAGAAGGTAACTACGAACAAATGTTAGATGGGCATCACCCGAAGGTTGACTTCGTAGGCTAACCTTTTGCTGGCTCCGGTTGAGTGACCAATGCTAACACTACGCCCGCAAGTTTTGTGTACGTATTACGGTATACCAAAACTCTACTATTTGCTTGCAACTTTTGTGTCTCAAATGAATGTTGCCTGGAACTTGGAACACGTGCCTTTTATTGCTACCAAAAACATAAACAAACGTGCCACATCACTTCATTTTGAACAGTTCATCAATACGTGGCACAGTCACGCTTAAAGAAAATGCGTGTGAGGGTTTCGCGGATCATAGAAATGGCTTCGTGGACCCCGAGAATGACTGGTCTGTGAATTGCTCCTTATGATAGTTCATTGTACTACATGCTGCATTCACGTTTTTGTACAATTTGTTTCCTACACTTCAACTGAGATGTGGTAAGGACATTTTTTTTTATTTACTTTCTGCTTGCCTCTTGTTATGGGTACTGGTGTAATTTACTTTGTAAGACATTGCACAGCCACCAACCTTTTCAAATTCTTCCCAAATTTTACGAGTTTGGATTCTTTCCGATGTTTTGCTTGTGCTCTGAGCAAAAAAAAAAAAACAGATTGATGGCGTCAAAGGATTACCACGTTAACTGCGACATGGTTCGCTGGTAGGTCAAAGCTTGTGCTCCTCTTATGCGGCCGCAATGTTACCAGCATGCATCTGCTTGCTGATCGCAGAGGTACGCGATTCCTGTTGCAAGAGCTTATAAATAATCAAAAGAAAGTTTTTCTGGTGTTAGATGCCATTATTCACTGGTGACCAACCGGTGGGTCACGGTGCACCTCGAAGGTATGCTGAGTGGCGCACCGTTGGGTCACTCCACACATAAAACGGGACGTCAAGAAAAGCTTGCTGCAGCAAATGTGTCAAGTGGCACAGGATAGCGAAAAATGCTTGTTTCAAGGAGCTGGAAAAATACTTGCCATAAGGCATTGGGGCAGTACTTGAAGCTATCTCAGCCGAGAAAATTTGTTTCAGTACCCCTTTAAAGCTTGCAGACTGATAGGCTCGGTGTCATCAATTTTCACTGGAGATTTGTCACTGAATGTTCTTTAAAATATCTTGTGGCTGAACATGCAGCCGGGCAAGAAGCGTCGCAGCGCCGGAGGAGGCTCATTCAGCCGCCCCAGCGGTGTCACTCGGACTCGGAGTGTTCCTTCACGAGACCTCGAAGGCAGCATAATCGACACAGTCACCATCAGGCACATCGCAGGTGCGTTTTTTTCTTGCATGTGGCAGCATATCGAAGAGCAAGTGGTCTCTTGACATGTATTCTTGTGCGTGGGCAAGTTGACAGTGCTGACATTTACTCAAGGCGACGTGGCGCTTCAAGATATTTCTCTACAGTGTTACATCAAAGGCTGTTTTCACCGGCTGCATGCCTTTCCCCACAGCCCTCTCACATTAGTGACTAGCCGAGAATATTGGGGTGTGTAAGACGGAACAATAACATCAATTCACTGGGACACTCATGTGTTCCTGATTGCTTTGACCTGACCTATCCTTAAATTGCATGCAAATGTACTTACATCTACACCTTGTCTCCATCAAAATCTGGTTATTTGCTTGAAAGAGTGCATCACAATGATTTTAGCGTATTGTTTTTCAGTGCCCTTGAAATTTAGAAAAGATGCTGAAAAGTCTTTTTAATAATTTAGTATAATAGGTTTTTTAGAGCCAATTTTAGCTGTTTCCTGAGCGGTTGCTTTGTCTATGGCCTGACAAAGTCGGCAAGGTTTTGTGGAGTAGCCAACTGGAAAACGGTATATTCGCATGAGCGCCCGCTTAAGAAATCACTCAAACAAAGGCCTAAATCGGGGAGTCCACCCTGTGCTTTTCTGTGCTTAAGAGGAGAGTTCAGTTCAAGTAGCTGAGTTAGTAACTAACATGGAAAACAGTTTGTGCAGTTACTGCCAAGTGGAAATCAAGAGTATAAAAGCCTTGTCATGATCAGCAACTGCTGTGTACAATTCATTTAATCCTGATGAAAAAAATTATAAGATTAAAAAGATGCTAGTGGGCTCCAAGTGAGGGTGTTGACACAGACATGCGGTTTGGATGACGAAGCACAAGAGTTCGGGAAGACATCTGCCGAGCTTGCAAATGTCGCGACAAGAGCTGCACTGGAAGGAAGGAGGTCATGAGACACTCATTGGTCACAAGAATAAATGTTAGCCTAAGGAAGGATGGACGAGCGTAGTCACAAATGGCAAAAAAAAAAAAAAGAGGAGCTAACAGTTCTCTGATAGAGCAAAAAAATCTGGAAGTTAACCTAATCCTTCACTTAGTTGCCCGGTAGTCGCTGTCGCACATCAACGTTCATGTGCTGTTGTGTATTTCTTGAGTTAACTTTGTATTTCATGCGGGCTGAAGTGAATCTGACAGGCCACCTAAAGAGAGGTGTAGGACAGATATCTCCTCTGTCACGTGCCGCAACAATGCCAGCTACTCTCAAGGAAAGCTTCTGCTCTTCCAGTGAACTCATTGAATTACATTTTAATAATTATACTGACAGGTAGTTAATCCTTATCTCAAGTAAGCTTATGGTTAATATCACATGTCTAATTTTTCGTACCGATTTCATTTTTTCAAAACATATTTTCTGAACATTCGGAAAACCATAAGTGCTTGGAAGAGAAAGGAGGGTCTCTCTTGTTGCTTGTGCCACTAAAAGAAAGCATTCGCAGTTGTCGCTGCAATGATAACAGCAAACATAGTTTAGTGAGCAGGTGTTAAATTAGGCTTGGGCATGCACAGAAGCCGGGACACGCTTTGTGCAATCTTGTTTATTATAACTTGTATCTGATGGCTTTCTCATCTTGCGACTAGGAATCTGAAGTGTTACTGCTGAGTTTTCAAAAGTGACATGGACTGTGCCTGGCTGCCTTCTGGACGTAAAGTCACGGGGGTGACAGTTTTGGGTTGTGCTTTCTTTACAGGCGCCACATACCGGAACAGAGGTTGGGTCCGGGGCTGGCGGGGTCTGGCCTCCTGCCATACAGCCGCAGTGATCATAGTAGCCTGGCACTGCCGGAGTCCGTCCGAGTGGCAGGTTTGGGCCATCGAGAAGGTGATTACGGCCGGCCCTGCCTCTTGCCTTCGAGTGAAGGCCCAGCACTTCTCCATGCAAGGTTGGCTTACATATTTCTTGATCGTCATTGCCATCGCTGTCATCAGCCGATTTGTGTCTATGCATAGTGGCCTCTCCCAGCAATCTTTGATGAGCCACTTCTCGCACCAGGTGGCCTTGTTAATATTTATCCAGCAAAGTTACCTCAGTTTATTATATCATATAATTCTGTTCTTTCTTGGATTACAATTTATTTATCTCGTTACCAGTTTTAATTAGACTGCTCTGTTTTTGTCACCTGCCATAGTAGTGTAGTTGTTGTGGTGCTCGATTGCTCACCAGAAGGTCGCAGGATTGAATCCCAGCCACAGCAATCACATTTTGATAGAGGCAAACTGATAGAGGCTTATGTGCTTATTGAAGATTTAGGTGCACGTTAAAGGACACCAGATGGTCAATATTTTTGGAGCTCTCTACTACAGCGTCCCCCATAATCATATCAAGGTCTTGGGACGTAAATCCCAATTATTGTTAATTGTATTTATGTCTCTTATAGCTAATGCCTAATATATGCAATATCATCTGCATATGCTTACAGTGTGGCAAGCAGCAGAACTTCTACTGTGGAGCCATCTTCAGCAACGTCAGCAGTTGCTGCAGTGTTGCCTGGCAACACCATGCAGTCACAACAGCCTCAACAGCAGCCGCACAACACTACTACCCGTCTGCCTTCTATTCCTGAACGCACAATTCGGTATCAGCGGGTGGAGCTCGAGGAGCCACTGCCACTGCGTAAGCACTGTCTGCTTTGATACGAGATTGATTGTGTTAAAACCGCATTAGCGATATGCTTGGGCTGCAGAATTTTTTAAAAATGGGGGGGCACTGTAATGCTGATTCATCCTCAAGCTTTTGTTTTGGACTGTACACTTAAGAATGTTTGTCGAGTCGGCACCTTCACCGAACGAGAAAATGCTCATTCTACATACACTGGCATTAGCACGTTTTGGCAACTTTGTGTCCCTGGAACACTGAATGGCCATTAACCTGACAGAAGCGATAAATTGCTATGGAGTACCCTTCATGCTGCGAGAAAATAAGTTGTGCCCATTCGAGAACAGGTTGGGCGCTTATTGAAAGTACATCTTGTCACTATATTTTGAGCGGGTACCTATGACAATATTCTGCTGTGCTCAAAGCTCAGTAAGAGTGTATGTGTAAGTGCTCTTTCTGCTTCCAAATTAACAATGTCAAAAGCATCGGTAAAGCTGAAAACCTGGTGAAGTGCATGTGCTCGACCTACCACTTTTGAAGCGTCGTTCTTTATTTGAGCAGCAAGAGATCTGTTCGCATGCCATTCAGCCATCAACGGCCCAGATGTTTTTTCCAAGGCTCTTGTAAGCCTTATTTCTTAGCATATGCTTGTTTTCAGTTTTTTCTTTTTATGACCCCTTATGTAATACCCATGGAAGGGGTCTATAAAGAAATTAAGTGAACGGAAGGTTTATATTTGATACCTTTGTTTACAGACTGGGAGGCTCGCATTGACAGTCATGGGCGCATCTTCTACATCGACCACCTAAACCGTACCACCACGTGGAACAGACCATCGCTGTCACAGCCAGCTGGCGTAGCTGCCACCTGTAATGAACTGCAGAGGCAACAGTTTGACCGGAGGTAGGTTCCTTTTTGTACCTGTACTCTCAAGCTTGAGTGTTCTCAAGCTTTATTCACGTGTCAAACTTATATTAAACTATTGACATTACAGGTTTTTAACCTGTCTGACAGTGCTGGCTGTCTTGCAATTTATCAAAGTGGTGTTTGTCATTTATGCAACTATTAATATGTATTACTAGAGGCATCATGAAACTAACTACAGTTGAGCCCGCTTATAACGAACCTGAACGTAACGCGGCATCTGTTTACTGTATCCCAAAGTTTGCAGTAAATGAAACACAGCTTTAAAAAAGTTACGAGTGAAAACACAAAAAGTTTCCCCCCAAAAGTCTGTAATCCATGTGTTTTAAATAGAAGCGATAAAGAAGGTCGCCAGTTTATTTACTGCGGCAGTGTGCTCTTTGCTGAGGCCTTTGGCATATACAAGCTGCCTGAGGCTATTAATGTAGCCAATTGCTACAAGTGCGCTTGTGGAAACAGGCTCCAAAGTTTCGTCGTCCTCGCCATCCGATTCCTCCAAATCGCTCTTGCCGTGCACTTCATTCACAGTGCCCTCATTTGTGCACGATTCCGCAGTGTCGGCATTGTTATCGACCATAGTGAAATCATCGCAAGAGATGTCTCGCACGCCCTTCCATGTCAGAGTCGATCACGTGCTGTCACAAATCGCCACTGGAGTGGTCCTGTTTGGAAGTTTAAGGCTAGGCATCGGGCCCGACATCGACAAAGTCAGCTTCGGGAAAACAGTTTCGCCACACGGGGCTGTCATCGCTGCCTACGACCATCTCCACAGCTGAATATAGGGATACACGACGCGGCAAGTTCGCTACCGGGAGGTCAACAGATATGAGGAAGCGCTCCACAATGCAGCGTCTATAATAAGTCTTAAAAATGTGGATTATGCCCAAGCCAAGCTGTCACACTTTCGACGTTTTGTTGAGTGGCAGAAAAAAGCGCGGAAGGCCTCTCATCTGCCATCTTGACCACACACGCACACCAACAGTAAGATGCGCACGCAAAACGTAGAAGCCAGCACGCATGGAACCACTCTGGACCCGTTTTTAGTCGGAAAACGAAATTTGTGAATTTGAGCCAGCGTGGCTGGCGTCCCGGAGCAGTGGAGACTAGTGGAGTTGCGATGAAGAGAAGAGAGCAGACTTGGGAGAGTCTTGCAAATGAGTTGTGATAGAGTGATGAGAGGCAGGTATACGGCAGGAAGGCGATCTTGAAAACCAAAACACGCGGGAAGAAGGCAGGTAAGGTAGCTTGCTTGCAGGGTCCGCAAAATGCGCAAATCGTGCATAGGAAAACTTGGGAGAGCAGTCTCCGCGCGCAGAGGTCAAAGAATTGCATAGTGATGCCGGCAGACTTGTGCGGTCCTGCCGACCGATGCATTCAGTGTTAAGGGGGGACGTGGCAAGTAAAACTAATTTTTTTATTAATGTACTGTTTGTGATGAAATTTGGTGTGTGTATGTGGATGATTGTGAGGATTCCAAATATGAAAACCGTTTTCAAATACCTCTTGTACTTTTTGCGTTACAAGCATAATTATACTAATTAATGCTCTTCACACTTAAAGAGATAATTATTGCTAAATGAAATTATTTTTTCATATTATTATGTTCCCAAAGCATCAACTTGTGCAAAGAAGCTATTAGTTGATTTTTCTAGTTCTTGTAACCATAAATAAAATTTCCAAAACATGGATGTTGTTTTGCACACACATCACAGTAATTATAAAATGTGTTCTAAGAATTTTAAATGATGAGTAAGAAGAGAGATAAAGCTTTATTGCACTGCTAAAAGCCTCCTGAGCCTAGTGCAAAAAACGGAATGACTCTATCAGTCTTTGTTAGAAAATGACAGATGTTCTAGCGAAGGCACATAGGCGAAAATCAAGAGTTGAGAAAACTGACTTTGAAAGTTCACTCTTGTTTGGAAGTTCACAACATGCCTAAAACACTCAGAATCCTCCTGGGCAGTAATCCTGAGATGCTGTGGCCTTGGCCTCTGTAGAGCGCAACCCAGTTTTGCGCTTCTTTGTCGTGGAACAATGCGCCTTTTGAGCCCTCTTCACCCTTTTGGCATCCTTTTCGGCTGCTCGCCGCAAAGAGCAGTCTCCTGGATTGAAGCCCAGTTGAGCAGTGATCTCTTGCAGCGCACTCTTGCAGCCACCATTGAAACGGCAGACTGCATCTGCAACTGCACTTTCCACACTTCGAAGGGAGGCGAACTGGCTCTTGGACTGGAGTGACCAAATGAGGCTGTTCATACTCTCCACAGCGTTCTGGGTTTTTCCCTGCGCACACCTTTCAAGGAGCTCTTTGTTCGAGAGGCGCTTGTAGATTGGCAGCAGTGCCACTCGCACGTGAGGGGGCAGTTTATGTTTGTGAGGCGGCAGCGGCTCTCCCTTGGCCAATGCCTGATTGTGCGGGCACCAGGAGTCAGTCCCACTTGGGCACAGGTCGTGGTGTGGATCCTGGTCTGTGGATGTTACATGGTAATAAGTGGCCATGATGGCCCTCTCCATGCCAGGAACATCGTTGGGGTGGCTCTTAATGGCCCAGCCATAATAATTCGTCAACTTCTTTATAAGGCCCTGCGTCAGCCGGCCTTTGCCACCCATGCTCAGTCCTCGGCCTTTGGATTTGTGCTCATCAAGAAGGTTGCGCAAGGAAGTGCCCATTCTTTTTTTCACATGGTTCACACACTCCTGTTTCTTAACATGTAGCCATACACCTTGTCTTGCGTGAGGGCAAGGTACGTACGGCTGTCACCGTCGCAGAGCACATTGATGTATCGAAGCTTGTACTTGGTAAACGATCTTTCAAACATGATCCTCGCTGCTTCTACTTCCATTTGGCCTGCATTAGCATCGGTGTTCTTTTGGCACTGTGGCTTGTGTTTCTCAAGCCACTCCTCATAGTTGTCGTCACCAGGCTTGGGGCCAACAGCACAGCCTTGGCAGTAGTTGGACAGGACACAGTGGTCCAAGACCAAGCCTGTGTACAGCTCGATTACACAGCCCACGCCAATATGACTTCTGTGCCCCCTCGTCATCCACGTGCCGTCGTAAATGACGTCAATGTTGCCTGGCACTCCTCCTAGGTCCTTGTAAATGTCATGCACCTTCTGTGCACTTTCTGCTTCAATGCGGGTGGCAGCTGATGTGGTGGCAGGGTGGCTGTACTTCCTTTGCAGTCTCTGGTAGGACTTGTGGTGCAGTGCTCGATGCGAAATGTCCATCGCAGAAAAAATGTCATTTATGGCAGATTGTTTTCTGCCAACTGACTGCACAGCCCTCAAAGCACGCACGTTTACCTCAAAGGGGTTCGTTTTTTGTTGCCCGGAGCACCTCGGGGACGACCACGCACTGTTCACTATGCCACAATTGTCACAAAAAAGTTCCATCCTCGCCGCGAGTCCAAGGCAGTGCGTAGTCTCGAGGCGTATCGACCCTTCGTCGCACTTTACTGACGAAAGCAGACCGTTCAGCATCTTCTTATTTACAATGAAGAATGTGGAGTCCTTACCGCCGTCATTTTCGTCGCAGCCTTCGTTCAGAAGCTCGAGCTTCCGCTTTGAAGCGGATTTCGATGCTACGGCATCCAAAACATCCCGCCTTGTCTGCGCCCGCTGCGCGATTTCTTCACTGCTCGGAATCTGGGCCGAAACTCGCGATAGAATGTTCGACGCGCGCACGCCCGGAGTTGCAACGGCTGCCGACGCGGTGCCACCGCAATCGGGTTCGCGAGAGCGTCCATCACGGTCGACGGCATCCGGCGGTCTGACATACGACGATGTGGCACCTTCCACACTCTCGGCCTCACAACAATCAGCGAAGGGTCTGAGTAGAGGCTCCGTGACGCTTGAAGAGCATGCTCCGTCCGGAACTGCGACTGGGACGGCAGCCGCAGTCGTCTGCCCTTTGTTCCAAGCTTTCCGACGCTTGCCGTACTTGTGGACGCTCCGGAACTTTTTTTGCGACAACATAGCACCGCAGTATGAGCAAGCACTCAGAAGAGACCACCGATGTAAACAAAGCTTGGTAAAAAAAGCACGCGAACTATCACAAACACAGCCAACTGGCAAAAAACGAAGCGCACGCCGGATGATTCTCGACTCGGCGGCCGCAGATGCGCTCGCGCTTCCAAGGTTGCCAAGGTGCGCGGCGCAGCTTTGACCAGTAAGAGGTCGCGCCTGCTACGACGTGACCCGCGCAGCCAATTGCCGTTCTTCGTTTTCGTTTTTTTACTTGCTCCTCGCGCTTTTATTTTCACTCGGCGAAATACGAGACCGCGACCATCGGGAAGCCGGCTTTCTCCTCTTTCCAAAGCTACCAAAATGGCGGCCCACGGTCAACAACTTGGCGCGTTTGTGCGGCGTGAACAACACCGTTTCAGGGGCTTTTTTTTCGCACTTTTCGGCGACTAGCCTCGGCAAAAACACTATTTGCGGGATTTGTAGCGCACGTTTCGCTGTAATATTTTAGAACAAGGAAGTTGAAGGTCTGAAGATTACGAAAAAAAATAAATCAGAAAATCGCATATTTTGACCAAAATCGGCACTTTACTTGCCGCGCCCCCCCTTAAACCAGTTTTTACGCTTCCAAACGCATGCGGAGAGTCTCGTGTTTAAGACCTGTTCTCGGTCACTTTGCACCAAAGTGCGAAGTGACCGAGAACAAGTCCTAAACACGGAACGAATCGGGAATCTTGTCAATGTTGGTGGAGTAGTGCAAAAGCGCGCACTGCAACGATATGACACCGATGCAGACAAGACATAGATGCAGACTATCGGGTACAGTGGATGGCCGACAATGTTGGCAGATGGTCTGGTCACTCCAGGTTGGTGACGGCAACAGTGTAACATAACCAGGGATAAAAAACTGAGGGGAGACTAGTTTTCCGAGTGCTCTTCGAGAGATCGGTGGCTGTGTAAAAACACAAGCCTCGTCTGGCGATGCAGGGTGCTCAGAGTAGCAGGGAGACAAAGGACAGAAGAGGTACGTAACCAAAATTGGTCGGGGAGAGCGACAACCAGAGGGCTGTAGAGGCAGGGTCGGCTTAACAATAAGAATTTATGGGCAGTTCCCTGATGGCTTATTAATGGGCTAAAGGGGTGTCCCATGAAGTCGCCAGAGCGCCGATTTCATTTGCTGTAACCGACCGGCAACGCTCAGAGACTTTTGTTGTAAGTGCGTTCTTGTGTCGTTGAAATAATGTATATTTCCATGGACACGCGGGTATCGTTCATTTTAAGTGAAAGTTTGTTTTAAGTGGGGCCGTTATATGTGGGCTCGACTGTATATAGAAAAGGGAGACCACGTGAAACTTCAATGTATTGCACTGATTGACACTTGCATGAAAGGATAGGTTGTTTCTCTTGGTTTTTGATATACAACCATGCAGTTTGGAGACACTGCATGCGATGAATCAATGAAGTGCACAGTGTTTCACAAAGCAATACCATTGTTGTTTTGGTAAGATTCTGGAGATCTTTTATTCTTAGCAAGTGCATGATGTTTGCAGTGCCAATGGTTGTGCGCCTCTCATTGCATTGAATATGCTTAAGCTTCCGTGCCAGAATTTTATCAAACTGCGGTATATTTTTTCTATTAGTGTTGACGGTGTCACCAGCAGTTTATTCTGGTACAGCTTTGGTTGCTCCATGAACATTCTATCAAAGCCCTCAAAAAGTGCACGAGATCGGGACACGGTTTGCCTTGGCGAACTTGTTCAGGGAACTACCTTGAGCCCTGTCACTTTGCAGGTACCAGAGCATACGGCGCACCATGACTCCTCGCATGACAGCTGCAGCAGCTGCAGCCTCGGCCATGCCTTTGAGTATGGCGACATCAAATCCTCCTTTAGCTCCGGCTGTTCCGTGTAGCGGTGCTGCTCCCTCTCCAGTTCCCGTGGTCGAAGAAGTGGTTGTGGGTGGCAGTGCCAGCGTGGCACCATCGGCCCCTCCTGCACCTGTGGTCCCCAGTGCCGACAGTCAGAGAGCGCTGCTCAGATCGCCTGCTGTTCGTTTTACAACTCGGTCAGACTTCTTCAACGTGCTGCACATGAACGACGTAAGAGGCCATGTTCTGCAAGTTGCTTTGACATCAAGTGCAGGCAGTTTTTTTTTCTCTTACAGTAGATGTGCAGGGACAATAAAATGAAACAGTCAGTTTTAATTTATAAACTAAACTCTGAAAACTCTAATGTTGTTTATTTCACCATGATATGTTTATTAATAGAGGAGAAAAACGCAGTCAACATCATTTTTAAACTTCTTTAGATCTCTGTGCGGGACATTAGGAATTTCTAGGTGTATCTTTCATATTTTTGTGATATTGGATCAATGAAATTTACATAAACTTGTGAAGTTTATGGCCCCCCAAGAGTGCTATGGACTTCGTTTTTACTGTTTTGAAATGGCATGACTTAGTAGATGCCGTCAAAATTTATGATTCTGCGGCATTTGTTGCAGGAATTGCAGGGCGGTGCCACCACCCACATTTTCTTTGCACACATTTTATTTATTTTTTAATTTTTGCTTACGAGGCATCTTCTTTCAGTAAGTGGGATGTTTTTGGTGTTGTGAAACTGTTATTTACGAATATGCTAACAATCTCTTTTCTCATTAATATCCCTCTAAAGGGGCCCTGTAACACTTTTTGAGCATGGACAAAAAACGCTGCTGATCAGTAGCCCCGCTGCAGTGGTCTTGTGGCTAAGGTACTCGGTTGTTGACCCGCAGGTCACAGGATTGAATCCAATCTGCAGTGCCTGCATTTTCGGTGGAGGGGAAAATGCTGTGGGCCTGTGTGCTCAGATTTGGGTGCACATTAAAAAAAAAAAAAAATTTCTAGGGTCCTTCACTACGGTGTCTTCTATAATGATATGGGGGTTTTGGGATGTTAAACCCCACATAATAACTAATCAAATTAATTGGTACTCAAGGCTCCTGAAAGCAATCATGTCAAATATCATCAATGTGTGAAATATAGCACAGCACGCGGCGTGGAATTCAAGATAAATTCTCAAAGTCAGCTGAACATCTTTCTCTTCTCTTGACAAATGATGCTACAAGCTCAAAATCGCTATGTCCAAGGCCTAGTATAAGCCAATGGCTGATTTGAGCATGTCGCACTCGTTTGTTAGTGGGGTGGCCGCGGGAGGCGGCTAGTTCACACATGAGACAGTGATCACACTGAAAAGACATGCATGACTCATTTTCTTCTCTTATGTCATCCCGCCATGCTTAGCTTCTAGCGCTTTCATTGAGATGAGAGAAGAGATAATGCGATTGTAGTGTGTGATGAATCTTTGTAATTATGCTCGTACTGGACAGATTCTGAAAATTTTTGGGGTGGTGAATTTGTAAGGTAAGAAGCTCTTTTAGCGAATTCATTCCGTGGCTTCTTGGAAAAGTGGAAAAGTGTTGCAGGGCCTCTCTAAGGGGGGACATTGTGCTCGAATGCCCTACTTCTGCAATCAGGTCAATCGATGGCTATCATTATCGTGAAGCCACCGTGCACACTGAAATTCATGGACAACTCGCGCTCCGCTCGCCAGGATTGGTCATGTCTCTTAGTGCGGCCTATACATGTGAAAACACGGCACATCAGTTTCCCTAGTGGTATGGGCACTGATGGAAGTGCTGCTTCAAACTTCTCCCAAAAGAGAATTGCTGCTCCATGCTGCTTCAAACGGTAATTTTTGTTAGTAATTGCACCGAACCTGCTCCAAATGACACTGAGAGAATGAGGATGACCAACCTTTACTGTTTGACCAGCTCATAAAATATTAAAAAAACTGAAAAGAAGCTGTGTTCTATTATCCCAGTGTCCTGCAAGTGTGCAGCATTATTGGCTCTAATCTCACTTGTGCGACAAGAATTGACATCTCAACCATATAGCTCATTTTTGTTTGTGTGTTTTTTTCTCATCTAGACATGCAGGCAAATGTGGTGAAATGTCACAATGAGCAGCATTGCTTTTATCTCGTACCGATTATCTACTGCTTGTCTGGCAACAGTTGTATGGGACTAGTGGTTACTTCCAAAATGTGGCGCTCAGCCTTTCCGCTTTGATTTGATTTCTGCCTGAAATGCTGTTATTTTAAATTGTAGCTCATTTCACGGCACATTCTTGACAACTGCCATTGATTGCTTGATAAAATTTACATTGATTGTTGTCTGTTAAATATATTTTCATAATAATAATATTTACAAGATACTTTGACAGTGCTCTGAACTCCCATTAATGTACGACAAATTCAATATATGCTCCTAAAACACTAATAGCTGTTCTAAAGTAGGATTCTTTTGTTTTCTGAAAACACTCATGGCTGCTCAAAAGCAGTACTTTTTCTGCTCCAAAGTATGCTCCAAAAAGTGAAAAGTCACTTCCATCACTTTATAATGAGTATTTATCCCCTTTGTGCACAATGTTCAGTTCTACAGGCAGCGTGTCATTTTCCTGATGTTTATTTTGTGTCTCTCTGCTTTAGGATGCTTTGGCTGCTTACAATAGAAGCTCCTCCTTGAAACACATGATTGCAAAGATTCGACGAGACCCTGCGAACTTCGAAAGGTATAACTGATCCCATAGAAGCTTTCAGTAGGCTCATTTAATCTACAAGCCTTCCATTGGGTGTTGGCGTTTCAGTGTGACGGGTTTTCGTCTTGACGTGTGTTTGTAGTATGTAATGCAGCAAACTTAACTAAGGAGAGACATCTCTTTAAAAAAAGTTCTTTATTTTTTAAATTGAGTTTGATGAAACACTTGGCGAGTGTATGTATATATGTGTGCTGATTTCAAATATAGATATATTTTTCGGTATCATTAGTGGTTTTTAAAATACAAAATGTTTCATCTGCCTTTTTGGCAGCAAGATTTTTTTCTAAAATGAAGTAGTTACAGAAAAAATCAGCATATCAGTAATCTAGAGTCTGAACTGTAAAAAGTGCAACAAAAAAAGGTTTTTCTAAGTTCATTTCAGCAAAAGTTAGAGTACATTGAACATATGCGAGTCGGTCAATTTCAAGCTTGTATTTCACACCCAAGAGCAGATTTTCTGGGCTGCATTTAAGCCTGTGTACACGCAGCAGAACATCGGAAAAAGTTTTCGCCTACCTACGGTATGAAGTTGCTGCTCGAGTAAAACAGTTCTTTTTTTAACTCAGAAACAATCACACGGACAGGCTGGCCTGTCTTGTTTTTAGGTTTATACCAGAAAGTATTAGCATGTTGTGGTACTCGGTGTCTTGTTTCTGGAGAGGCCACAGTGCTGCCCTCTGTGCTTTTTTTTTTTTTTTTTTCCTGCTTCGAAGTAGCTTTTAGTTTTATCATAGTTATGTCAGTGGTAAAGGACAGTAAAGTTGAGAGGTGGGCGAGTTGGAACTGATGCATTGTTCAAAACTTTACAGCGCGAGCGAGACAGATCACTGTGTCCACTTCTTTGTGCTCTGTCTCATTCACGCTGAAATGCTTTCAGCAACGGCGAATGACACATTGACACTTGGTAACTCGCACTTTTTTGTGTTGCTTTTGCACATGTGAACTAGATACCAACACAATCGAGACTTGGTGAGTTTGCTGAACAAGTTTGCCGACAAGACAAGGGAACTTCCTAGAGGCTGGGAGACAAAGCTAGATCGCTCAGGAAAGGTAAGGCTAGTTTGCATTTGCTTATTTTCTTGTTGAAAGTGAACCATTGACTCACTTTGCTGAACATTTTATAACGAGCACAGCAATGACAGTGCTATCAAGTAAATTCATAGCGTTGTGCGAACTCTTTAGCAGGCCATTGTGGAGTTGTGCAAGGGCACATTGGGCCCTTCCGCTACTCAACAATGGCCACTCCGCAGAAAAAAAAACATATGCCGAGTGTTTTAGGAGCAGCAAAGTGTATGCCACGAAAATGGTCATATATTGTCATTTTTATGCTGTTGACTAGATTAGTCTAGAAAGAAAATAAAAACAGTTTTGGTGTTCTACGTGCATAAGCTGTTCGATTATGCATATCCACCTTTGCATCATCCCTACTTCCCCCAAAGCCACTTCACAATGTAGCTGAATAACTAAATCGCCTTTTATTGTCAGTTTCTCTTTCCAATAATTCTTGCTAGTCCATCGTGACTTGTTGTTTCTATGCCTCTGCGCTGCTGCAGCAATTCTTCATTGACCACACGTCTCGAAGCACAACGTTCATCGACCCTCGGCTGCCTATAGATGTGCCTTACTTAAATCCAAGCAAGCTGGTGGTTCCTCTGGCCAGGAGGCGAAGTCGCAGTGCTGGGGAAGATGACGGACAGAGAGCAGATGCTGCTGCTAGGGTGAGCCAGAGCTGTTCAGCATCTCCGGTTTATCTTGCTTTTACCTTTTTAAACTTTGAGCGAAACACTACTTTGTAACGAAAATAATACTGCAGAAGCTCTCCCCACGTTCGTTTTAAAAAGATAATGTGGCACTTACATCATCACGTGTTAAATCTGAGAAACAGAAATCATCCAAACACATGAAAGGACAACTTGGCAGCTCCAAATTGAGAAAAGAAATTGTAGAAATAGCTAGGATAGAGAGATTAGGAATTTTAGCTGAGAAAGCTGAGTAAGTTACGTTAACTGGAAGTAACTGGAATCTCCGACTTTGTAGTATAGAAGAATCGACGAACCAGTTGTCAAACCGAGTGTAAGTAGCAGTGGCAGCTGTAGCAAGTGGCAAATAATCACTAGTGCAGCTTGTTTGAATAGCACTTGGTTTTGCATTAATGTGTGATTGTAAATGAATTCAGTGGATTACAGTGCATTTCTGTCAATTTCGCCCGAATGGCCTGGCTGTGTCCACCTTGTTCAGGATTCAGAATAATAATGATACAAGTAGAGTTGCAGTTGAAGTTGCAGTTGAAGTTGCAGATGCCCTAAGGCAAGTGCGACACAATCGGTTCTGAGCCTGAGACACTTCAACCTTTTCTGTGGCTAGAAGCGTCCTCTAGCCGACACTGGCACCACCACTTAGGTAATATCAACTCCCGGCGGCAAAAGCACCGTCTCATTGCATCGGATTGGTGAATGCGACGTAGGGCTTTTGTCGGGAAACATGCACAGTCTCAGTAGCTGGTGTGGTGGACGAAGGCGTGGGTTATCGGCGAGATCTCTTATGTGACTTCGGTATCTTGGCGAAGCATTCGGTAAGGCCCGACGTAGCGCGGCAAAAGTTTTTCACTCAAGCCAACGCGACGTGAAGGCAGCCAGAGCAAGACCAGGGAGCCAGGGCTGAAACTGACGTCGCGGTGGCGACTGTCATAATGGCGCTTTTGTTTTGGCCTGAAATGCCAGGAGCCGACGACGGCCAATGCGACGCGCTGTAGCCGCGCGGACGATGGCGTCGTGAGCGTAGTACTGTCGAACCCCGCTACAACAAAACTGACGGGGGCGGAAAAAGTTTCAGTGTAGTGAAAGCGAAAAAAAACATACAGCTGATCTGAGCTAGCAAAACAAAGGAACGTTTATTCTCAAAATTAAAAAATGTTCGCTGCTTCCTATTCTTTCCCAGCAGCATCACGTGATTCTCACCCATGCATAGCAAGGCCATGGTGAAAAGCATGCTGAAACAATGCCGAAAACTGCCTTCGTGAACGAACCAATCAGTTGCATTAACACGTTAACACCAGCAGCTGTCCGCCGTCAGAAGTATCCGACAACGCCAAGATGGAGGCGGGGTATCGTGGAGCGAAGGCTTTTGCATTTTTCTATGCCATTCTTATCATCCATCACTCGTGGCTAGCTGATTTTGTCGATAATGTGGACGAACAGCCGCTCTGATTAGTTACCACTCTGGCCAAGCACGAACATAATGATAAGCATCAGAATCTGAAAAGGCATCGTTCTGCGGTTGCACTCAGCAGCTACGTGAAGGAAACCATTAACTGAGCGACTGAGCTTCAGCTTCAGATCATCCGCGGCTCAAAACGATCAAAAGCAAGCCAGTGGCAAAAGCAGGGCAGTGTCATTGCTATCGTTATCGAGCAATGGCGGCGCCCATGCTTGCAGAACAGCGGCGGTCTAGTGGCGCTATCTGGTGGTGCCAACGCGTGTTTTAGACTTTATTGACGCATTTTCAGGCTCTGTAAAATCGAAATGTTAGTTAACTGCATAGCAATAAGTATCTGAGCCTGGAATTGCATCGCGAAATTTTGTTGAAGCAGGACGATTGAAGAAAAAAAGTTCGTTGTGGCGACAATATGCATCGACTCCTATGGACTGCTGATGGGGAATCGTGAATTTTTCGTTGTAGCGGAAATTTTGTTGAAGCGGCTTGCGTTGTAGCGGAGTTCGACTGTTTGTGGTTGAGTTTGCCTCGGAAGGAAGTAGTGAGTCGAGAAGTGAGAGCGGGTCACAACCACACAACAAATAAAACGGAGAATAACCAGCAATGTCGTGACGCGTAGAATTATAGGCAAACATCACGAATGGTAATGTGCAGTCCCAATCCATGTGGTCCTCAGACACGTACATGGTGAGTGTACGGTTCGAGCGCTCAGTAAGTCCGTTTGTTTGCAGATGGTAAGCAGTGCTGAACTTGTGAGATGTTGCACAAGAGCGGAGAAGGTCATCGACAACTTTGGAAAGAAAACATCAACCTCGATCAGTCAGCAGCTAACGCGGAGCACCATATTGTAAGATGATGTTAAGGAGGAGAAAGTCAGCGCCATCGGTTGCACGGCTGGTAGGAAGGGCTCGCGTAATGGCATAACGTGTCGTATAATCAGTCGTTACGGCCACCCACTTGTTACCCGCGGACGTCGTCGGGAAAGGACCAAGGAGGTCCAGGCCAACACGAAAGCATGGTTCGCTGGGTATAGGTTGTGGGGGTGCTGCCACCCCCCCTGTAAAGTTGTCTGCGCCGCGTGGCGCACGTGTCTCGCCCCAGGGCGTTATTTCGGTGGTGACCACCACCGGGCGATAGATGGCGTTGTGTTCGCTCTGAGTACCACTGTTGGTAGAGTGGCAGCGCCGGTGGTGGCCCCTGGCGGAAGGCAGGCCTTGGCGGTGGGCGAGCGTTGAGCGAGCCTCTTCTGCGCGTGGCGGCTGCCGCGAACGGTTGTCTGTAGCGCGGGTCCCCGGTGCTCGGCACCGCGGGCTTCGCGCCGGGGTCCCACGTGGAAAGTCAGGCGTTGGCGACGCCGCCTTGGGTATGTGCTAGTGTGTTGGGTGTTAGTGTGTGTTTATCATGTTATTTTGTGTTTAGTGTTTCACTGTGTTATGTTGTTTGTATGGTAGCATGTTAATTGAAATTGTTGTATCATTCGGCGGACGATCTCGTCGTTTAAATTAGTTAAAAAATGTATGTATGTTGTGTGCTTGGTACCGATCGTGTCAACTGTGTCCGTTCACTCCGAGAGCGTGGCGTGGCGATGCGCGCGTTCGCCTCGCCGAGACCGCACACTGGCTGCCCAACGTGGAGCTCTTGGAGTGTCGGACGACAGTTCTTGCGGTTCGGTACAGGGATATTGTTAGAGCCGGAGTAGAGTAGGCCTAGGGGGGACTTCTTTGCTAGCGTCGGTGGTGTGCTTTGTTGAGAAGCGAGGGGATTGGTTTTGTAACGTGTTTCAATTTGTCGGCAGGTTGACTTTCTTTTTTTTTTTTTTGCTCGCAAGTGTTCTTATTTTTTGTTGTTAGTTTTCAAAAACGTTGTTGAATTAGGACGAGAGCCATGCGGTCCGCATCCTGGGGTGAGCAAGGCCTAGAGCACGTGGTTTGTAGGCCAGGCCCGAAGCGAGTGAGTACGGAAGCCTCGTGGGTGGTCCGATTTTCTGTAAATAGCTTCTTCTATCTCTTTGGGCTCAGGGAGCCGGGCGTCGTTGCTGACTTGTATTGCGGCTCGACGCCGGGGCGTCGTGACACCGCCCGGGGCGGTGGACGCCGATCGCTCGGTAAGCTGCTGTGTGCGGCGAGCGATAGGGCCACCTCACAGAGTAGATGTCTCCTCGCGGCTGCCTCTCCTGCGCCTAGGCTGGGTGCTGGGTGGATGCCGGTTGTTGCCGAGCGACTCATTAGGCCTAAGGCTCTGCGCAGCCGCCTGTCGCACGTGGCACAACTAGGTGGATCGTAGCGTTGAGGTGTTGCGCTCTGCTTCCCTCACTTTTTTTTTCTTGTGAGCACAAGTTAGAAAAAGTGATTTGTGTTTTTATTTTGATGGGCGTCTCGGCCGCCACCGATGTATTAGCTAGCAGTACTAACCACCGTACCACGTGGCCGAAAAGCCTGAAGCTCCCTCCCCTGGGCCGCGCTCCTTTGTTTCTTTCGAGTTTTGTTTTTTGTCGATGTATTCAGCGGGAGGGATGTCATCCACGGCCGGCTGTCCTGCACATCGTCAGCGTCGTTGGCCAGGAATGCGGTCGTGAGGTCGGGCGATGGAGATGCCTGGGACCTGCGCAACTGCCTGCAGTCCGGCGCCCTCGCGAGTGCTGGTCGCAACTGGAAGACGTGTCGGCGCTAGCGACGGATCGTCGCGCCGACGGCAACGTTGCTGTTGCGGGGCCGGTACTGAGGTGAAGCCTAGCCGGACAGTGCAGCAGTGTCGACCAGCGGCGGTGTCGTGGTGCAAGGACATTATGGTCGTGCGATATCATTTTTTTGTTAAAGCTTGTGTAGCTAATTTCTGATTTCGGGATATGGTTTGATTTAAGGTTGGGGGAATGTGGGGGTGCTGCCACCCCCCCTGTAAAGTTGTCTGCGCCGCGTGGCGCACGTGTCTCGCCCCAGGGCGTTATTTCGGTGGTGACCACCACCGGGCGATAGATGGCGTTGTGTTCGCTCTGAGTACCACTGTTGGTAGAGTGGCAGCGCCGGTGGTGGCCCCTGGCGGAAGGCAGGCCTTGGCGGTGGGCGAGCGTTGAGCGAGCCTCTTCTGCGCGTGGCGGCTGCCGCGAACGGTTGTCTGTAGCGCGGGTCCCCGGTGCTCGGCACCGCGGGCTTCGCGCCGGGGTCCCACGTGGAAAGTCAGGCGTTGGCGACGCCGCCTTGGGTATGTGCTAGTGTGTTGGGTGTTAGTGTGTGTTTATCATGTTATTTTGTGTTTAGTGTTTCACTGTGTTATGTTGTTTGTATGGTAGCATGTTAATTGAAATTGTTGTATCATTCGGCGGACGATCTCGTCGTTTAAATTAGTTAATAAATGTATGTATGTTGTGTGCTTTGTTCCGACCGTGTTCACCGTGTCCGTCACTCCAAGAGCGTGGCGTGGCGGAGCGCGCGTTCGCCGCGCCGCGACCCCACAAGGTATGGGCTCAAGGTACCCAGCAGGAGAGAAAGAAGGCTTTGTGTGGCATTTG